GAGAGAGAGAGAGAGAGAGAGAGAGAGAGAGAGAGAGAGAGAGAGAGAGAGAGAGAAAGAGAGTCAGTCCCTGAAAACATACCCCTAGGGACCCACTCCTTTCAACCCAGTCCCACTACAGTTTCCACCCCCTCCCATAGTCCACTCAGATCATGAAAGCATTAATAGATTGATGCAGTCAGTTTTCTCATGGTCCAATTGCTTCCCCCCAATCCACCTGTAAGGATTGCTGCATTAAGGACCAGCCTTCAACACATGAGTCTTTGGGGGACATTCCAGACCCAAGCTATGACAGCTATGTTCCCTTCCCCTACTCTGGGAACATTTGAAGCAGCTGTGCCAGGGTAGTGCCATCAGGCAGGGCCCACAGTGAGGGAGGGAGCAGAGCTCTGGCCGTGGGCATGGGACCTGCAGCCTGCATCTGAAGGCAGAGTCTTCTGTGTTGCAGGTGCTGAGACAGACAGGGGCCATTCAGTGACACCACAGCCCGACCCATGTATGAGCTTGAGGTGTCCAGTCAATGGTGGCTCTCTTTTACTGCCCCTTTCTTTTGYCTTCTCTCCCAGAGATGCTGACCAAGGATGAGACTGATGGAGTCCTTGGTAGCAAAAGCCACTTCTGCAGGGGTCACCTCCCTCTACAACCACTGTCACTCCTCTGCCCTTCTCTCCTTCTACTAGTTTGAAGTGGGTTGGAGCACTGAGTCCCCTCCCTCAGTATTCTTTCCAAGCCTCACCTGACTTCTGTGCAGTAGGTGCGATGTCTTGTTTCCTACCTTTTCCAGGACGAATTGCAGGCTTGGCCCAGGTACATCAAGTGTCACACGCATCCCTCAGAAATGCCGTAGTAAGTTTGCTCGTCTCCTTGTCCCCAGTCAGCACATGACATGTGTACTTCTCCTTTCCCTTCTTTCCAGGACCTTGGGAACAAAGACCTCAACAGGGATAAGATCTACTTGATTTGCCAAATAGTCCGTGTCGGGAAGATGGATCTTAAGGACACTAATGCCAAGAAGTGCACGCAGGGGCTGAGGAGGCCCTTTGGGGTGGCAGGTACTGACACTCCATACGGCTGACTTTCACTGGCGTGCCCGACTCCGTGGTTGAATTTTAAAGACTACTTCTTTGCGCCCTTCCCCTGCCTCACCCCATCCCCCCACACGACATATGCCAGACATATGTCTTAATAACTAGGCTTTTGGTGACGAACAGAAATACGCTTTTGGTGACTAAGCCTGGATTCACATTGAGCGCCGTGAGTAATGGATCCGGGGTCTGGGGTTGAGCGTTGGGAGTCAGGTGCYGTCAGAGCAGACGGTGCCTTCGCGCCCCAGGGCTGCGGAAAAGGAAGAACATGCAGGCGAGATCTARTTACCAGGAGCAATTCCTTCTAAAAAATATCCAGGACAGGAAATGCAGTTACACGGAATGAGTCACCCACCTCGGGTCTGAATTCCACCGGGACCTGGTGAGTGGGCGGGACCTGATGTCCCACAGAGGCTGCCTACAAGGCCGCTGTCCCGGGTTTCAGGGCACCAACGTTCGTTCTTGTCCCACTATTTGGCTATTACTTGCACTATTATTTACCTAATATATTTCCTTTTAATTAACCCACTTTATTGAAACTAAAATACATTTGTCTTAAAAGATAGTTTAAATACCTGGGACATGGCAATTTGATATGCCACTTTTATTCTTTTTATTGAAATATAAATTTTTAATCGTGTACCATTAATAATCCCTGTGTACCCTATCTGAACTCACTTCGGGAGGCCCCATCTTCTGCAATCACAAATCCACCGGCTTTCCAGCTCGTCCCCTGGTGCTCCTTGTGTAGTGGTGGAGTAGAATAGTGTATTGAGCTAACTGGATTTTTAGCCTGCSTTGACACTCGCTGGCCCGTCAAGTGACCTGGGGCCTTGGTTTTCCCCAGGGCCTTAGTTTCCCTGTGTGTAAAAATGAGGGTTTTGTACCTGGAGGTTCCATGGAAGCCCCTCCTGCCCTTCAGTGCCCTGGTGCTGTATGCAGACGCTCCTCCCAGCACAATGGTCCTGCAAAGGCAAGGAGGGTCCCCTTCGTGTGTGGCGTAAGAAGCTTCAGAGGCCCAGGATGCCTCTGGAATTGCAGGGTTCAAGGATTCTACAGTCAGGTTTCTGTGCATATGAAAAATGTTTAKGAAGCAGGTGCATATTTCACTGGATTATCAAATTCTGCAGGAAGTCTCTGTACTTGGGTTTGGTAGGCATAGTAGCTATTAAATGTATGTGTCAAATGCCAAGCTAATTGTTCAACCCCATAGCCGTGTCTCTGACTGCTTCCTGTGGCCTCTGCTAAACTGCTTTGCCCAGAGGCGTCTACACGGGTGCTGTGTGCTCAGAGTTGGCTGTCCACGGGCTGTGCCTTGCTGGGCTGCTTGCCCCTTTAGGCTTTCCCAATCCCAGGCTCCCTCCTACCTCCTAACAGACAATTTGATCCCACTGCTGTCCCTTCCTCAGATCAAGGAGGGAGTTGAACCATCAGCTCATCTCTCTTCTCTTTCTAGTTATGGACATAACRGACATCATCAAAGGGAAATCAGAGAGTGATGAAGAAAAGCAGCACTTCATCCCATTTCACCCGTAAGCAATGGCCCRTGCCTTCCTAGATCCTTCCACCATACCCTTCCTCCTGGAGGGCCACTCCAGTGCAGGGGGGACCCCTGGCTAGCAATAGGGCAGTCAGGCTGGGCCTCCCCAGAGGAGGGCAGGGTGATCCATGCCAAGCTCCTCAAAACCCACCAGCTGTTACTCAACAGACTCTTCCTGAAGCCTGGCACAGCCCTGTGCCAGGCAAGGGGGATGGAGTGATGGGCAAGAGCAACACRGCCTTGTCTTTGTGGAGCTTRTCCCTTAGATGGCAATTAAATAGATAATCAGAAACAGATTCGTGCATTCATTACAAGCGTAACAGGGACCTCAGAGCTGRGATGCATCTGCATTCTGGCAACTTGTATTGAGGAGTCCCGTCCTGGTTCTCATGGGTGATACATCCATGACTTGAGGGAGGACAGTGATTAAGGTAAATGTCCTTCTGTGCTCTAAAAGCTCTTGGAGAAAGCAGGATAGTGTTGTCAGTACTCAGTCACCCCCAAGACTGTCCGCGTACCTAGGCCAGTGGCTCTGGGGAAGGAGTGTGACTGGGACCTCGTGGGAGAGATGGAAGCCTTAGCCACCCGTGGAGCAATGTTTGGGTTGAGGGCTTGGGGATCCTTTCTTWTTATGAGTCTTCCTAGGGATAAAAATGACCTCTACTTAGAACATTGAAATTCCCCAACTTCAGAGCGTTTTGTGAGTGTGAGAAAGGAGCCCTGTGCTTCCTGATGGTCCACGTGCACCCTGGGTGAACCTCTAGGCTGGCTTTCCAGCCATGGCACAGGGAAGGCTGGGCAACTCCCTGGGACAGAGGTTGGATGTGCCCTGAGGGCTCCATGTGCTCACCGTGCTCCCTTCCTCCCCAGGGTCACGGCTGAGAACGACTTCCTTCACAGCCTCCTGGGCAAGGTCACAGCCTCCAAAGGAGACAGCGGAGGACAAGGTAAGGCGCCAAGATCCTGAGCAGCGGAGCCCGCCCCACACCACCCAGAAGCCTAATTCCCAAGGAGACAGAGCAAAACCCAGACCCTGGGGAGCTCAGCCGTCCTTCCAGATGGGCCACTGGGAGCACCAGGTCTGTAGGGAGGGGAGCACCAGGTCTGTAGGGAGGGGAACACCAGGTCTGTAGGGAAGGGAGCATCTCCTGAAGCAAACGAGAGGCATGTCCTAGTGCCCAGACAAGGAGAGGAATTGGTCTGTCCATTCTCTCCAGTGAGTCAGGCACTTTTGTGGTGACCTTGTTTCATCTCACTTTACTCAAGTCCCGTGAGGTGGGCCCAGAGTCCAGGGTTGGGTCACTGCATTTGGGGTTCTATGTCTGCTTCCAGTGGTCTCCAGAAAGGACTGATGGCGGAGTSGGGTGGGGGGCCGACTGAGAGAATACCTTGTAGAAGCTCACCCTCCCTTCTAGGCCTCTGGGTAACCATGAAGATGCTGGTGGGTGACATCATCCAAATCCGCAAGGACTACCCACACCTGGTGGACAGGACCACTGTGGTGGCCAGGAAGCTGGGCTTCCCAGAGATCATCATGCCAGGTGGGACCTTCCCCTAGGACAAGCTCTSGGGTCCATTTTATTTTTAAAGAGTCTACTCTTTCCTTTTTTCTTTTCTTTTTTTTTTTTTACGGTCTTCCTTTTTCTCTCCCTGAAAGTAAACCACTGAAAACAACTTCTGTATATCTAGAAACCTCTATGCATCCACGAAATGAACACAAACACCTAAGTACACACACATGCGCTTTTTTTCTCCCGCAAGTGGGCTCTCACTTCATATATAYGATGTACCCTTACTTAATACGCTTTTTATAGTGTTCTGCAACTTGCTTTATCACTCAATAATTTATCACGGGCRTCACTTCTATTTTACTACATGTAGAACACTCTTTCTGGGGGGAATATTGTCATTCTCTTAAATCTTTAAACCTTTTATTGCCAAAGGAATCCATGCTCACCATAAAATATTCAAGTGGCCCCCGTAAAGGTCTAGAGTGAAATGTTATGAGCTCCCCCACGTCTTTGTCTTTAGACGTAACCACGGCTATTAATTTTTTTTCCAAATGTGCCTGTCATTTCAAAAGGCGAGATCGTGTAATAACACTCTTTTCAAACGTCCCTTTTGGTCTTGAGCACGAGGCTTGGTCTTCCACCCGCCATCCCTCTTCCCCAGTTGAGTGCTGGTTCATGGGGTCTGGATGGGATTTATTTGATCTCTATAMTGAGATCTCAGCTCCTTGTGGGTTCCCTTGCAGAATGTTTTATTCTGATTGCCCCTCCTTCCTGGAAATCCTGTGTCCGTGGTCCTGGGGTACAGGAAAGCCACTCTCTTCTGGATGGGTCTATTCCTTGGTTTTTCCTGGGCCCTGATCAGTTCAGTTGAAGCTTTACTTGGCCTTCCCAGAAGGTGTCACTAGAGGATGGAAAGCAAGGGATCTTCAGGTGGAGRAAAACATGGCCACTTTTTGACCATGCGGTCCCTTTTTTGGGATGGATGTCCTAGCGTCCCTCCATCCTTGCGCTCCCCACTTCTGCATTCTCCCGGCAGGTAAAAAATGCCTTTCCCCAGCAGTTCTGATTTAACATCCTAAATAGCGCTGCYTCCCCTCCAGCTCTCCTCAGAAGCCTGTCTAACTCTTTCTCCTCTCTCCCTCCGCCTCAGGGGATGTCAGGAACGACATCTACATTACTCTCTTACAAGGTGACTTTGACAAGTACAACAAGACCACGCAGAGGAATGTGGAAGTGATCATGTGTGTGTGTGCCGAGGACGGCAAAACGCTACCTGTAAGGGCTCAGCCACGCTGGCTCTGGGGGCCGGGGCCGGGGGCGAGGGGAGTGGGGATGGGGTTGGGGAGTGGGGATGGGGTTGGGGAGCGGGTCTGGTCATAAAGATTGGCTTTTCCTCTCCCAGATTTGGCTCCCTCAATGCCAGGTGCCTTTGGGATGGCTCTGAGTGACGTGGGCTACACCTTCAGAGCCTGGTTAACGTGGTGTCCCACAGTGAGACCTCATGTTGTCACTTCTTGGTGCCTAGGCAGTTTTTCAATGCCTGTTTCTTATCCTTTATGACCCCTTCTTCTTCTTCTTTTTATTTTGCTTGGCCTGTGCTTATAGGTTAGCCTCTTGCAGCTAAAATGTTGTTCTTGTTGAAACCCAAGCTGGTTTATTCAGGCAAAATCCATAGTAAGAAAGAGGATCAATACAGAGCCTTGGGCTGGTGTGAGGCTCAGATGTCCTCAAAGCAGACATTCCTGACACTTAATCCAGCTCCCCAGCACTCAGCCAGGAATCCGGGTGGAAAGCCTTATTCACAAATTGGTCTCCAGAGAGCTCCGCAGAGCCTACTCAAGGATGCAAAGCACATGGCTATATTTATCCAGCATATGTCCCGGACAATATTTGTCGTGTGTGTTTACATTTATTTACTTATATTTCCTGTAAGGTTGTCAGCAGTTGTGTCCAGTGTGTAGGAGGGTTTTTGCTTCTCAATTCCTCCTCTTGGAATACTTAGCCGAAAATAAGATCAATTCTCAGCAGAAGTTTCAGTGCAGGAAAAGCTTCCCCCAGAGCCACTGTAGGGGATCCCACAGCCCAGGCAAGCAGGGCACTGATCAGAGAGGGGCACAAGGGCTAATAGCCATCGGCTCTAGCCTTGGGGCCTCAGCTCAGGCCTGGTATTRTCACCCTCTCCCTCAGAATATCTGGTGTCCCCAGGAGAACTCCCCTCTGCCAGGCTCTGCCATACTGAGATGCCTTTCCACCCCATTACCCTGCCTTTGAGAGATGGGACTGAAACCTTCCTGAGTACAACTCCTCCTCCAAGGTCATCAAGTTAGCAGGTGGCAGAGATGGGGTTTGATTCCAGGTTCCAGGTCTCCTCATCCCGTCACTAGAGGGCCTACACATGTTTTTAAAATGCTCCCMGTTACTTCTCATTTGAAAAGTGAGGCTGATAACTCTTCTGCCAATTCTGGGATGATTCAGACTTGTTTTATAATCATGAAGAAATCCCTGCTGGTGCCTTTTCGTTCACAAAACCACCCTCATTAATTAATATCTTCTTGAGCAAAATCCCCGMGTTTACCTCATCCTCTTATTGTCGGACGGTGAGACTTTTCTGAAAAACAGAATAAGTGAGAAACACTTGGCTGAGAGGAACACAAAGGAAGAGCAGAGGGGTTTTATCTGAAAGGAGAAATTGCATTTCAGGAATGTATAGACAGTTGCTTTGAAGTTATTTTTATCCAGCTATCTGGAGAACTTTTTAACCTCAGCCTCATTTTTAAAACATGGATATGCCGGCTTTGCATGTTGCCGAAGGACAAATTAGAGGGAACAGGTAACAGGCAGGCGGACTTCTTATCTCATGTCGAAASGAAACCATTTTTACCTCCACCTTTGCGTCTTTCAAGTCACACCCTGGCCACTTAGATGCAGTTATCAAAGACGAATCCAGAAACAGGACTTCAGGGGCTGAAATGCATAGGTAACTGCGGGCCACGGAGATAATTTGCATTTTCACCTGTTGGGGAAGTTATGGGGAAGTGCAGTTGACCAGCTATTAAAAATGGCTAAGGAAGCCCGTGGGAGGCTTTTCTTTCCCTATTTGCAGAAATAAATATTACTGTCTAATTAAGTGTCACACAGCACACTCAAAAGCTCCTGCTTTATTTGGTGGGTTCCTGTGGGAACAGTCCCTGAAGGGAAGGATCGATTTCCTCTCTTGTTCCAGGTGTTGTCTTTGGCAGATTAGGGCCAGCCAGCGGAAAGGGTTAGGCTGCCCCTTGGCTCACTTTGGGTCCTCAGGTCCTTGCTCAGGTGGGGCTGTAGCAGAGAAGCTCATGAGCTATATAGTAAATATGGATAACAGGAAGGGAGGGTAACCTTGAGAGAAGGCAGGCCAAGCCAGGCAGCCCTGGGAGGGAACTCAGAAAGACGAACCAGCCTGAAGCAGGTTTCTAGAGGAGTCCAGAAGCCCAGATGCTGCCCAGCCCAGAAACCTCTGTTTTTMTGAGGCCATCCAGCTTAAGGTATTGGAGGTAGGGACTAGAAACAGTGTGACATGGTGCTCAAGATCATGACCTCTGGGGCCAGACCACCAGGTGCAAAGCCTAGTACAGCCTGGATCAGTAAAACAACTCTGAACTAGTTCCATGAYCTCTCCAAGTCTGAGAGTCTACCCCAAACTGGGATGAGCAAAGACACCTCACCCTTGTGAATATCAGATGAGTTGACCACATCGTGGGTGTTTGCTGAATCCACTCATTGTTATTAGAAAAGTGTCATATGCTTCAGACCTGATTTCCACCTGCAAACGCTGGTTGACATCTCCCATGACGTGGCACATCCTCAGTCAAGTGCATTCGCAGCTGTGGTGCATCCGCCTCCTCGGGTGATGCCTGTGGAGTGACAGGAGCCTGGTGACCCTCCTCTGTGGTGTCTCTGCCAAGGCCACGTCAGCATCACAGCCCCCCAACTTCAGGATTCTCCCTCAGGTTTTCCACTGACCTGGAGTTCCCTCACCAGCTAGGGGCTCTCGGAGGGTGGGCAGTGTGGACTGTGGCCAAAGTCTCACTTGAGATTTATATGAATCTACATCCTCCCTAGAGCTAGGCTGTGTACTGGCTGGCTGCCCCCCCCCCTCTCCACCAGCCTCCAATTTGAGCTTTGGAGTGCTGAGGTAGAGGCCAATGTCTTTGGCTTTTCTCTGTATAAAGCTGAGAATTTTTTTTTTTAGCTGTAGGAAATAAAATTTTTTTATCATCAGGATAGTTTTGTGACATTCAGTTGCCTGCCATAGTGCAGTTTTATTTTCACYTGAGATATATGTGTGTTTTCAGACTTTATAAGCTATGTGGGATTCACGGAAGCAACAGAGACGATAAGCCCATAAATGTCACCAGATATGAATATTTGCAGGTAGAAAGGGTGTAGGTTGTTATAGAAGGAACACTGGACAAGGATCTAGAGGACCTGCCACTTTTTTGGTCAAGTGAATTAGCCTCTCAGGGCTTCAGTTTAYCCACCTAGGCCATGGGTTCGCATTAAGGACTTAGCATGACGCTGGATGCCAAGTGGCCAGCAAACCTTTGGAAGCATGTTTCACCTCATGGCCTCAAATAGTTCTGGAACTCAGCTCACCCTTTTCCTATCCATTGGACACCGAGAACTTTTCAGTGAGTGGACAGATTTTCCTTCCCAATGTAGCTGGTTTCYAGGGGCCACAGAGGGCCTTCCTGTGGCCAACTCTGATGGCTCAACATACTGAGGGGTCAAGGATTTATTGCAGAAACTGAAGGAATCTGATGAAAGGTGTAGACTCTCCCAGGAGCACCTGCCTTGCAATTATAGGGGCTATTGCTTCAAAACTAGTCCTTAGGCTCCTAAAAGTCTGGGGATTTGAAGTTAAAAATTGATCAGCTAGTATGAAAACCACCCTAGGCCCCTTCTGGGTCACACTAGCTTGATCTTGTGTTGGAACCCAAACTGATGGAATAGAGAGAGAGAGAGAGAGAGAGAGAGAGAGAGAGAGAGAGAGAGAGAGAATTAGGGATTTGCTTATACTATCTGAAAATAATTCCTTGTTACTCTCTGAGACTCTGAGGGTGATTTCTTTTTTAAAAAAWTTTATTTATTGATTGATATGTGGTGCTGAGGATCAAACCCATTGCCTCACACATGCCAGGCAAGCACTCTGCCACTGAGCCATGACCCCAGCTCTCTGAGGGTGATTTCTATGGCAAAGAATAAATATCCTACATAGGTCAGAGTGCTCTGCTTGCTCTCTGCTCAGAATGCCTTTCCCATGTTTCTGCTCAAAGCCAACTCAGACTCTTTCTTAAAGATGCTTAACTATCACCAGGCATGGAGGTGCATGCCTGTAATTCCAGTAGCTCAGGAGGCTGAGGCAGGAGGATTGTAAGTTTAAAGCCAACCTCAACCCTAAGCAACTCAGTGAAACCCTGTCTCAAAATAAAAAATAAAAAAGGGCTGGGGATGTGGCTCAGTGGTCAAGTGCCCCTGGGTTCAATCCCTGCTACCAAAAAAAAAAAAAAAAAAAGTTGCTAAGGGGTCTTCCCTGAGTTCAGTCTATGTGTGCCTGTCATCACAAGGCACTAGTCAGGACCAGGGAGCTCATGTGTCTGACCCTCTCCACCAAACTCTGAGCTCCTATCTGKTTCAGTTCCTAGCTCACCCTGGTTCCTCCAGAGCTTAGTGTGGGCCCAAAACATGCAGAAGATGATCACTACTGCAGGCTGAATGGAATCACCCTCCCCAGACTCATTCTTCATGGTGGGCACCCCGTTGTCTTTCTGAAGYTCATGCTGTCTGCCACTGCCCAGCGAGTGCCCTCCCACTTTGGTGCGTCAGCAACCAAAATCCATCAGAATGGGTTTCTGCTTGGCCGACCTGAGCCTGTTTGTAAACCTTGTGCACATCCACATTTAGGAAACAAATAGGATTAATAAGACTAGCAGCATGCAGTGACTCGGAGGCTGGTTACCATTTACAATGAGGCGCCACGTCAGCGACCGGCACGCTCCAGTGGTTTCCAGAATGAAAGTAATAGAATTTCTGTGGTTAAGCAGCTGCCACTCCTGGGCCAGGGATGCTCATGTATAAATCCGTAATGTAGAAGGGTCATGATAGGGGCCTGGAGAAGGGTCAGGGAAGGCAGGGTTACCCCAGACTCTAAGATTGGCTTTGGCCTTGGAACCAATGTTGCCCAAACACAGGAAATAGCAATTCTATAGTGTTTTCTCTCTCTCTCTCTCTCTCTCTCTCTCTCTCTCTCTCTATTTTTCTTGGTCAGAATGCAATTTGTGTGGGAGCTGGGGACAAGCCCATGAACGAGTATCGCTCCGTTGTGTACTACCAAGTCAAGCAGCCACGCTGGATGGAAACAGTCAAGGTAATAATAATAATGATAAGAGCAGTGAATGTGTATGTAGCTGTTACCGTGAACCAGGCACTGTTTTAAGTATTTTAGTTTAAAAGTTTATTTCCTGCCATAGTCTTGTGAGGTCTGCATTGTATTTCCCTCATTCTACTGGTGAGAAAATTGTGGCCCAGAACTAGTGAGTGGATTGTCCAGTGTCACTGCTGGTCATGTCAGGACTGGAACCCAGGCAGCCTGGCTCTGATCTGAGCTCTCCAGTGCTCCTTGAGGGGACAGGAAGTGGACTGGAGCCCTTATCATTCCTGCTCCTTCTCATGAGAATGTGCCAACAAGTTGATTAAGACTCCCAGAGAGTTCAGGATTCATGTTCCTGCTCTACCATTAATTCCCCAGCTGTTTGACCTTGAGCAAGTCATTGGATCTGTCGTGTTGTGATTTCCTCATCTGTACAATGGGAGCCACAGGATGACTGTGAGGATGAAATGATTTAACCACCCAACGCTGTCAGAGAGTCTTGGAGGAGTGTGCGTTTGATAAATGCTACAAATGCGACACGTTCTCGGCTGTCCTGCAGTGTACCTGCTAGTTTTCTTGGTGTAGTAAACTACAAACCAGATCTGCAGCTCCTTTGAGCTGCTCTTCCAGCCCTGGCCCCTTGCCCATTTTTTACTCTCCCCTCTGCAGCTTTGCGCCTGCGCTGTGAGGTAGAGAGTGGAGGAGGCAAGGATACAGAGATTCCAAGTGCCTGCTGTGATCCTCCAGGTCCTTCGCAGATGGTGCCCCCACCCCCAGTACTCTGTGGTGTTTCATTAAAATAAAGCTCCTGGATAAAGTAAATGTGAGAAATACTGAGAAGTGACCGAAAGTATAGATGTCAAAGGCTTCCTCGTCTCAGGTTCTCAGAACCCTTCTGATGGAAGCGTCTCTGCAGAGCTGCAGGAGGAGAGTGTGCATTTCCCAGACCTGCTCCACCGTGGAGCTTTTCCTTTCCCCAGCGGCCCAACCCTGGACTAGCGCACTGTTGATCACACTTCAAAGATCCCTTGTTCTGCTCTAAGCATATGGGAGGCTTGATAGACCCAAGTGATGGTAAAGAACACACAGGAATATATTGTCATTTTCTTCATGGAACACCCAGCTCAATTCTGGGGCCAATTTTGAGTCCACTTACTTGGAAGGACACAAAGTGACAGAGCTGTCTTCAGCCCTGGGGCACAGTAGAAATCACCACTCATGGGGGCATGGGGTCCTCTGAGGCACCTTCAGAGGATCTGAACAGCACCTGGCAGGTGTCTGGTGGCAAGTCAGGCAGTAGACATGTCCCCATGGACAAGTTCTGTGGTTCTCTGATAGTCTTTTATTGGTCCAGTAGCTAATCGTTGTGGACTTGTCCACTAGTCTTCTCTTGGATGGAGCCCAGCCCATCAAACTGTCCTGTTCTACCCAGCAGGGAGAAATACCAGAGTTTTCAAGATGTGAGCTTAAAACGGGCCGTGGGATACCTGAAAAAATGCCCCTTTAGTAGAAGTGGCTGTAGACACAAATCACCACATCATCATGCTACACAGGAAAGAATATTCTCCATTGGAATATGAATTAGGAATTAATTCATTGAACAGTGAAACTTGATTCTAGCTTTGAATACCTCTGCCTCATAATCAGCAGCAGCCCTTACTCACCTGTGCTGACTCAGGAGAGACACACAGCTTCCTTTTTGCTGATAGCTATTCAAACCCCAATGGTCTGGCCTTGTCGCATCTATTCCTAGTTTCCTGTGGGTCTACTTATATTTGTTCTTGTCAAGATGATGACCTGCCCAACTTTGGGGTCAGAAAGTTATTGGACCGGGTAGGTCCTCTGTTCTGTGTGCTCTCCTGCACCCTAGTTATACCTCTTTGCTGGTTCTTGCCATGCAATATTTTATATGTCACTCCACATGGACTGTGAGTTCTCTGGGTTCAGAGATGCTATCTTCATCAGTGTGGCCAATGCCTCACATCTTGTAGCTTCCAGGAACCATTCCACATTTCAGTGAGAGGATGAGTGAGACCCAGGAGACTCTCAGTTCTTTTGCTGGGTATGAAACATAGAACAAGACCTCCTCTGGCTCAGATTTTCTTTTCTGGAAGAGAAATTCCTGCAATGTATACTTTCAGTTTTTTTGTTTTGTWTTGTTTTGGCTTTTGATAGTCATCTGTACTGTGCAGACCTTTAAAAAATCAGTGTTGTTCTTGCAGGTAGCTAAGCTCCTCTGCATTGGCCTGAATTGCGCACTACAGGAAGCTGTGGGGCTCTGGGAGGTGGGGAGTGCAGAGCCAGCCAAAGCACCTCAGTGAGCGGTGCCAGCAGACCCTCACCCTACAGTGGTGCTGGGAGATGCGGATGATTGTCCTACCTTTATATCTGTATCCGTGGAAGCAGAAGTATCAGACATGTGTCCYACCAAAGAGGGGATGAGCCCTAGGATTTTTCCAAATATTATTGAGTTAAAACACTTTTATTAATTGGCCTAAATGAGAGTCCTCCAGCAACCCCTTAATGGCCACTGTTAATTTGCTAAGCCCTGCTGCAATTGCCAGAGCTCCTGGAGTGTGTAAGGAAATGTGCACTGTGCACTCTGCAGTGCATCAAATCCTGTGCTAAAGTTATGTGACTTTTATATCAATTTGGGGAGATTCATTTTTCCTCACTATAATTTACGGACCTCTTTTCATTGGCTGGGAATGCAATTTGCCAAATGGATTACATTTGGTACTTTATTTTCTCTTCATAGCTAGTTCTTATGTAATTTATTTACAGTTCATCAGGCTTGATGGATGGGTGGCAAAGCAGCCCACTGAGCCTCAAGCTAAATGGTCAGGCTGCCTGTGGGGTGGGACGGGTTTAACTCGTGGTCTCCTGAGCTCTGGTTTCTGCCTGCTGAGGTGGCCGTCCCAATCGAGGACATGCAGAGGATCCATCTGCGATTCATGTTTCGACACCGGTCATCCCTGGAATGTGAGTACCCAAACAAATGGCGTCCCTGCGGCTCTCCTGAGACATGGGCGGGATAGCGGGGTGGCCCACGTGTGGTTTTCTTTCCTAACCTGACTATGCCGTTTCTAGCTAAGGATAAAGGGGAAAAGAACTTTGCCATGTCCTACGTGAAGCTGATGAAAGACGACGGGACCACTCTGCACGACGGCTGCCATGACTTGGTTGTCCTCAAGGTACCGTGAGTCAGAGCCAATGGCAGTGAAGGGGGTACAGGAACCAATGGGTGATGGCAGGATGGCCTAGTGGTTAACAGCAGGAACCCCAGGACCACAGGCCTACCAGCTGAGTGGCCCAGTGCAAACACAACTCCTCTGGGCCCCGTTTCCTCACCTGTGAGCCACCTGTGACTCATTGTGAGGATTATGTGAGATGGTGCTTGCAATCTGGGTGCAAAAGAGAGCACCAAATGGAGAAGTCATGGTACATATGGAAATGGGCTCTTGACTCCTTGAGGTCCTCTGTGGGACATGCAGAAGACCTACAGGGAACATTTGAGAGAGGCTRCACTGTAGCTAATGAAGAAATATTAGAATCTGGGTCCCGATCATGCTGCTATGTAAATCTGGAATTATCTCACATGTCTTCCTGAGTCTCAGTTTTCTTTGTTTAGGCAGATTGTCAGTCTGTTTGGGCATACCGATGTCCACTGTTAGGTTTTCACAGCATGAGACCTGCACTGTGAAAACTATTAACAAAATAACTGAAGAAGGCTACTTTATAAGGAAAAGAGGTTTATTTAGCTCACAGTTTCAGAAGTTCAAGAACATAGTGCTCTGCTCTGGTGAGGCCCTTCTGGCTGTGTTACATCATGGCAGAATGTGTGTGAGGAAGAGATCACGCACCAAATTGGGCACCAGAGAGGCCAGGCATGGCTAGAATCAGGCTTTTATAACCACCCTGTCTCTAAAACTAAGCAGCATCCCATGAGAACTACCTTCATCCCTTCTGAAGACAGCGCTCCGTGACCCAAAAACCTTATTTAACTTTTTTTAAAGTTATGATTATTTTAATGTTTATTTCTTTTTTTAGAATTGAATAGCACAACACAAAATGAAAATAACCATCTCTTATTTTTCTACTTATAAAAATATACTTATATACTTTTGAGCTAAACAAAAGAAAAGAAAAATCACATAAATACGAGTTTCAGGACTTGATCAATTTAGGCAGCTAATTTAAAAAATTCATTTTGGCCTCCTCCTTCCCCAGCATGTCTACAAATCTTCACTTTTAATTCATAGATGTGATCAAAAGCAGTGTCTAGAAATAGATCATATTATTTCTGGGATAGACAGCCTCTAAGAGGGTTCCCGGTGACCTCTGCCCTGGGTATTCATGCAGGCTCCACCTCTGAAAGCTTCCRTCACCTCAACATTGCCACCCTGAGAAGCAGGCCTCCAACATATGAATCTTGGGGATTAACCACACCAAACCATTGAAATAGTGACAGCAGTAATGATGACAACTCAGTCAGATCTCAGACACAACAGGGCCGTGTAAACACGAAGGGCGTACCCATGTCCACTGTTAGGTTTTCACAGCACGAGACCTGAACTGTTTGCAGGAGGTGGGAAGGTATTTGCCTTGACCTGGCCTGTGTGCTTCCCCTCTTGGGACAGCAGGATGCATGGGGAAGTTGCTTGCTGGATGCAGAGCTTGTGGTTGTGACCTACATACAGCATGGCTGAATCACAGGTGGACCTTTGCCTGGGCTCTCTACCTGGGGGCTGCAACCGCCCATCGCCTGTGGCCAACATGACCTTCACTGCTCATCACATGGCGCTCTTCTCTGAGTCTCTGACTTTTCCAGAAGCCCCCTTTCTTCTGTGTAGCCTGTGTTCTCTCATTCATTGTGCCTTGGAATGAAAGCCATTCTTCCCCAACCTGCTGGGAACTCCTTGGGGCAGAGGACCAGTCGTAGCCAGTTTTCCTTCTACTTGACTTCATTAAACCTTAGTTTCCTCAACTGTAAACTGAGAATGATAACAAAATCTGCTTAATCCACTTGAATGAAGTGAACTAAGGCACACAAAGGATTTGGAATAGCTCAGGGCAGAGGAAGGGTCTGATCAGGAGGGTCTCCTGAGCACTGTCTCTGGTCATTCATATTGCCTGGCGAGGCACGTGCATTTCTTTTAATCTGCTATGTTCTCTGCATTATCCCATTTAGTTTGGGAGTATGATTTTTCTCAGTTTATCTGTGAGAAAAATGGACACGGAGAAGCCAGAGAATGAATCCAGGATAAACAGAACAAGCTTCGGGTCCAGGGCTTCCTGGCCTAGTGCCTTTGCCATTCACTCCCAGGTTAAGCTGGATTCCCTAGTGTCCTGGAGCATCTTTTTCTTTTAATCATTTCAAAAAATTTTAGGATGGATTAAAACTGCTATCTGGGAATCTTCAATTCCCTTTTCTGCTTTAAGATGCTCACAGAGGCTCCAGCTGGTTGATTGGCCCCTTCTGCATTCAGCTAACTAGATTCCCACATTTGTGGCGGTACAGGCCTGCCTCGCCACCTGGTCTTCACTGCTTTCCTGATGATCTTCCTGGTTGCTTCTGACCCTCCCCAGCCCACAGCATGTCATTTGGCCACTTCAAGCTCTGTGTAGATTATATGAGTAGTCTCGGCTTGGGACAGTAACCAAAGTGTCATTTCCAGGGGGACAGCAAGAAGATGGAGGATGCCAGTGCTTACCTGACTCTTCCTTCTTATCGACATTATTCGGAAAACAAGGGGGCCACCTTGAGCCGGAGCTCCAGCAGTGTTGGGGGGCTGTCCATCAGCTCTCGAGATGTGTTCTCCATTTCCACCCTGGTGTGCTCCACAAAGCTCACCCAGAATGGTAATGGAGCCCACTGGGAGTTTTGTCTGTGGTGTGTGTGTGTATGTGTGTGCATGGATGCACAAGCCCAGGTGCGTGGCGGCCTGGTGGTTTGATCAGTAACAGTGATCCTCTTGTCCCAACTGTGTTTTAGTGGGCTTGCTGGGTTTGCTGAAGTGGCGCATGAGGCCCCAACTGCTGCAAGAGAATTTAGAAAAGTTGAAGATCGTGGATGGAGAGGAGGTGGTGAAGGTTAGTGGGATTTCACTTCCTGTGTTCATCCACCAGTGACAGAAATTTAAGTCAAGGGCAGCTCCAGGGAAGGAGGCGGGTGGGTTTTCCTCGCCATGGTGAATCTTTATTGGGAAATCCAGTGGGGAGACTTGGCTTGATGGCACTGAATATCRAGTATCAGGAAACTCTGGTTGTGCTTAGTCTCTGTGACAGATTAACCTRGGTGTAGAGCCCAGCTCTCCCATTTACCATCTTTATGCAATAATACTATGAAATGACATAGGAACTCATGGAAAGAACCATGGACACCATGGTTGTTATGAGCTTTCAGTGATGTTATTTAAAAATAACTCAGTGCTGTCTCTTACGTGTTAATACATAATAAATGAATGAAAGAACACGAAACTTACAAAGTTCAATAAATAATGATAGTAATCATTTTGTTATGTACATGTTGCTATGTTTAGTAGTATGATCTCTCAGTACTATATGCATATGCACATTGTTAGAAATGAAAAGTTTATTTGTAGTTTGTCTGCTCAGAGAGCACTATGCCTTGAAGGTGAGAAAGAGAAAGACTTTAGTGCTTGCACTGTAGGTAAAGTGTGCAGAAAACCATGCAAATGCCTGGGATCTACAGGGTGGTAGAGAGTAGACAGTGTCTAAGGTGGAGGTCTGGCTAGAGCAGGCTGCCTCTCCAGCCCCATCAAGAGGTCAAGTGTGGGGACAAGTGTTTCCCACGGTCCTGGTCATCATGTTTCCACCAGGAATTTGGTTTGGCTAGAAACCCTGAAGTTAGATGTCTTTATGTGGTAGCTCTGGCTTTTAAGAGATTATAGGAAATATTGACTCTTCCCTTAGGAGGGAAGGAAATCAAGTTTTATTTAATTGCACAACCCTGGAGAAACGGTGGTAGAACTTCCAGATCGATGCTTCAATGGACGCTATTGACCCACCCACCCACCTAGCTCAGCACTGACAATCACACGCCCCCAGACGCTCCCTGGAGAAGGCTGTTGCTACCAGGCAGTTTGGAGAAGTCATCTGGGGGTGGGGGTGTGGTTCCACTGCATTCTTTCTTTTGATTCTTCTTTTTAAAAAATGTTTGTTATTGGAGTATACTATCCCTGCAACGCAGCAGGCACCAGCACAGCTCAGGGAGATTTTGTTCACTGCCCACCGCATCCATCCCCCAGATGGAGATGCACGACACTCGCAGAATTGCTGCGGACCCTCTCATCCCCTTCGCAGTCATGAACCCGCGTAGGGGCAATGGCTAGGCTGGCTGCTCTGGTCATAGATGGGTTTTTCCTACTCTTGAATTTTCTGAAGCTGGAGTGAGAGASTGTTCATTTCTGTGTCTGACTTGTTTTACTCACATCCTCGCTGTCGCGTGATGAAGCACTGTGTCATGTTCTGTAGTGTGAAATTGCTACTGTGCATGGACAGCCAAGTGGCTCCAAGTCCTGGCTCTTCTGAGGGCCTCTCAAACATGGCCTGGGTGCTGTGCGCTCGTTCTCTTGGGTAGACAGGTGAGGGTGGGGTCCCTGGCCATCTGCACTCCCTCTGAACGTGACCTTGGTTCTTTCGTCCAGTTTCTCCAAGACACTCTTGACGCCCTCTTCAACATCATGATGGAGCATTCTCAAAGTAATGAGTATGACATCCTCGTCTTCGATGCCCTGGTAAGAGCATGGGAACAGGCTTTCATGTGTCTCACTCCGACATAGAGAGAACCCATGGTGTCCATGGTCATTTCCATGAATTCCTTAGAGCCACKGTGACCTTTGGCAGCCAGACCCCTGAGTGAGCTGTTGCTTCCCTTCACTGGTTTCTGGTTGTTCTGAAAGCCAAGGGCATAGTGGGGCAGGGGGAGTTTTCAGGTTGATGTCAGCCCAATCCTGGTGGGGAGCACACGAGGCCAGGTGCTGGGAATYGTCACCTCCGTTCCCAGGAGTGTGAAGCTGGTCCCTGGCCAGGCTATAGAACACCTGACACTTCTCCACTCTCCTGTCATGTCCTCTGATCACTTCTGCTCCCGCCAACCCAGAACCTCTGGCCGTGTAACGCTGTCCAGATCTTTTCTCTGTCTTCCCGTATGGTCCCTCTCATGTCACGGCCCACATTTCCTCAGTGCCACGTCCAAAAAACATGAGCAACATTGCATCAGGGTTTGGGCAGTCAGTAAAGTTTCCCTGTGTTGGCCCGTGTCTTAGACATTTGTAATTTAAAAGATGCTCCTTGGAGATGAAGGTGGTTTAATCAGGTACTTTTCACAAGGTTCCCTTACAATATGCCTTACAGGACAGATGCTCCCTAACTAAGGGCTCCTTCCATTAAATAACTCAGAGAAGTGCTGAGTGCTGCGTGGCCCTCCTGGAGAGTCACAGTGCACATTAGTGTATCAGGTCTCTGCAAAGTCCTGCAATAAAGACGACGTCTAAGGGTGACAATATGAGGTTCCTCTAACCTACCTGACTGTGAAAGCTTTTATCTTATAACACCTTAAAGYACATTTTATGAGCACTTTTTGGAGAGACAATATTATGGTGAAAAGTATTAATCGGGTCTGGGGTTGTGGCTCAGTGGTAGACCACTTTCCTAGCCCATGTGAGGCACTGGGTTCGATCCACAGAACCACTTAAAAATAAATGAATGGAATAACGGTTAAAAAAAAGGATTAATTGTTTATTAGTGAGCATGTCTTTATGTGGTAGCTCTGGCTTTTAAGGGATTATAGGAAATATTGATTCTGGGCAAACAAATTTTGATTAAGGGGTACGTTGTACCAGGTAAATACTGTTTCCTGCTCTGAGTTTGCTCCCCCTCACCCCAATAATTCTTGGCATTTTCCTCAGATCTACATAATAGGACTCATTGCAGACCGGAAATTCCAGCATTTCAACACGGTCCTGGAGGCGTACATTCAGCAGCACTTTAGTGCGACCCTGGCTTACAAGTGAGTCCCTCGCCTGCAGGAATTTCCTGTGCACGCGCTGCCTGCCCTGCCAGGATGCATGGGGCACAAGGAACTTGAGCAGTTGCCTTTTGACATTGGTGTGTGTGTGTGAGTTCTCCCTTTTCTGAGAAAACCCAACCCATAACTCGGTAATTTGGATATCCTCAAACATATGCAGAATCCCGCCGGGATTGAGATGAAGTGTTCGTGTATTCGCTGAGCTAGTTAGCTATCATTTATGGGACAGTTACTTGTGGAAAAACACTAGAACTCAAGGCTAGAGAGGAAGAAGTACAGAAAYCTGGTGGCTCTGGATTGCTGGGGGTAGGGGACCGAGGAGAGAGAGGGGTGATGCTGGGGGGCGATGCTGGAGTGTGTGGTGGCAGCAGTTTGGGAAGAAGCCTTGGAAGGCAGGCCAAGTCATTTAAAGTCTGCCCCACTAGTGTTGGAAAAACACACATTTTCCGAGCAAGGGAGTTTCACAGTAATTACAGGAACATTTTGTATAGAGAGAAAAGTGCAAGACCACATCAGCACTGCTATCTCCCCATTGCCTGAGTAGGCCTAGTTTTACCATTGAAGACATTTTTTTTTCTTATATTTCTCCTTTGCTGGCTTTTTATAGGCAGGAAATAACTTATTCATTCCCTGTAATAAATACATATTTTCAGCAGTTATTTTTATGTTAGCAAACGAGTAGTGAACTTAGCTATGCTACCACCTTTAACCTTTGATTGAATGCCTCATAATTTTCTGAGCAAACTAATTACCATGCTGTGGACCAGAAAGAGATATATTTTGAAAATATTATCTCTTATTCAGGAAACTGATGACGGTGCTGAAGACTTACTTGGACACCTCCAGCCGAGGGGAGCAATGTGAGCCAATCCTAAGAACTCTGAAAGCTTTGGAATATGTATTCAAGTTCATTGTTCGGTCGAGGACATTGTTTTCACAGTGAGTACCTGTTATGTAAGAGTGATTGATGAACCCTGAAATCCTTATGGGAGCCAACAGTGTTTTTACTGTAGGTGAAACTCTTTAAAAATTATAACCAGCTATCATTAAAAAAAAAAAAAAAAAAAAAACTTAAAATTCCAGTCCAACCCAAAGAGTTCTGAGGGCTCTAGATTTTGTTTGGGAAGAGAAGGAATCCTAAGCTGTTGCAGTGGTGTTTCCCAGAGCAATGTGATTTGTGGTTTGAAGCTTTTCTGTTTTTGTCTAAGATAATTTTAAGAAAACTTTCCAGGAATGAAGAATGCTCGTTTGCACTTAGGGATAAATAGGATCTTATTTAAATTTGCATTTTTGAAAAATCCAGAGAGAGCGCTGGCCTCGGGCATGGCTGAATCCAGGTACTCAGTGCCTTTGGGACCATCTCTAGCTCTTGATCTTGACTGCCTTTCTTTTGTTGATGGCCTTCTGAGGCAAGTTTTTCAGTGTGCAGCTACTAGAATTCCACTARCTAAAGCAACCCTAGTTTCCTTGCTATCCCAGAAAATTTCTTTGGAGACAACTACCTCAGGTTATGTGTTAAGATCTTAATCAGGTGGCTAGGGGACCAGATAGGCATCGATCGCTGGTAGTTGTGGTCACATGTGGCAGGGTCAGGTCAGCCCCTATGGCATAGACTTCCTGTGGTGGAGACAGAGCTTTCCCAAAGAAAGCCTGTACCCTTTATTTGGATCATGACAATGGATGACCTCTAAAGCTTCACACTCAAGAAAGCATCTGAAATGGGTCATCATTTCAGATCTTCCTAAAACACCCTTTGATGCTTCAGGTAAGCCAAAAGAAAGATGCTGTAAATCCTGTATCCCTTAAATTGGAGTGTACATTTCAATTTCTCAGACTTGTCAGTCAAATCTCAGGGGTGTTCTTCCAAGTTCAGGGTATACTTGTTAATTATTTGTAAACCAGTAGAGTCCAGGCTTTCTAAGAACTGAGTTTTTTGGAGTTCAATGATTCAGACTTTGTAGTTACAGATTAAGACAAGGATACCTCATCCGTCTTCCCAGTGAACATTTTTTTTTTGATCTATAAAAATATAAGCTTTCATCCATCATTATCTTCTTCTCCAGTTCTTCCTTAGTCTTATATATTTTACTGTTTCTCCTTCTCCTTCCCTCTTCCCTCCCTCCCTCCTTCCCTCCTTTCYCTATCATTTCCTTCTCTCTTCCCTCCCTTCCTTCTTATCTTTTTCCTGTCTTTTTTCTTTCCCTTCTACAAGAACAAAGTACTTTTGTTCAATTGCTTTCTTTTTCTCTGCCTCAAGGGATGGCATCTTGCAGAGATCCTAACTCTTGAGTATAAATTCAGTGCTGAATAGCATTTGGCTTCCTGAGGAGCAGAGTGATCTTTATTTCTTGCTGAATCCCCATCACTGACATTTGGTCAGAAGATGCCTCTAAGACAATATGGGCCTCATCTTGAACCCCTTTCTCATGAACAAACATGTAGGCTGATCTGCAAAAGAGGGCCCATGACCTCATACTAGGAGAAAGTCGGTCTGTGTCTTGTTCATTGTAGAGTCCTATTCACAATGGTCTGCTCTCCGGTGGGGCCTCAGGGCATCAGAAGTGACTGGGTATTTCCCTGTACTGGGGGAAATGTACTTGGACAACTAGAAAATAGAAAGCTCYGTGCTTTGAGATTCCTACGCCAGCTGGTAGGAAATAAGAACATAATTATTGCTTTTAGGCTTATTKCGTCTGCTATTGTGTTTCTGTTTCCTGTTATTCCTTTGTTCTTTCCCCCCATGTGCATAATTGMAGTGAATCTGGCTCCCATTATTTGTTCCCTGCATTTGTCTTTGCATGTACTGCGCATGAACGTTTGCAAGAGCAAGGAYTCTGCTGTGTCGATAGGCAGGAACTGGGGCACATGGGAGGAAGAGATGTGATTGAGATGGTGGGGAATTTTTATTTCATTATTTTGCAGGGGAGAGAATCACTTTACTCTATACYCCTTCTTGCATCACGAGCTCCCGAGCCAGCATCTGGCCTGCTCATAGCTGTACAGAAAGCCGGCAGAACAGGTTCTAGTTTCTACCACAGGGAGGCAGTGGTGAAAATATGGGAAATTCCTAAATCGTGGRGAGTCTGTCTAGAAGACCCTGGGTGGCCATGCCTAAGGCCACCATCCACTAGGCTTCTGCAGGATGATCCCCTGGGGGGTACAGAGCACAGTGAGAAACATTCAGAAAGAGCTGAAGTGATTGTCTTCCAGGCATTGAACTCTCTACAAAGCCCACTGCTGGGTCTTTAATCCTGAAGCTCGGTGCTGATCCTCAAGGCTTCTGAGGTTCTGGAGTGACAGGCGGCTGGAGCTACCTGTGCTTCCCCGCTCTGCGGTGGACACTGAGCAGCTCTCTGTCCAATTGGCCAGCATTCTGCGGGGATGGCTGGCAGAGCCTGGACCTGCAGGGGCGGGGGTCTCTCCTCCTTCCTTGCTCCTTACAAATCCCAGTCCTGCCACAGGCTGGGGCTCAGGGGGCAGTGTGGCATAATGGTCACAGCACACTGTTTGTGCTATGCCGACCTTGGATTGAGACATGTTTCTTTCCCCGTAAGTGCCTGGCTAAATAAGTGACCCAGCCTCTCTGAGCTTCGGTTTCCTCATCTGTAAKTGGGGATATGCCAGCTCCTGGTGTTTAGCTGATGGGCTGAGATTACATGCAGAGCACTCCAGGTGGCATCTGGCACCTGCTCCATACGTGTGATACATGTTTGCTAATGTCTTGTTTTTGCCTAGGAGACAGCAGGGAGGCCTATTTCAAAAGCTCAGGCTTAAATTAGTAAGARAGAATGTTCCAGAATCTTGATGCTTGCTCAGCTGACTCACCGTGCACCTATCCTAAGCATGTCTTGCTGTTGGTTTTTGGAGGTTGAATCACTTTGGCCTGTTATCTATGCTTTTCAAGGACAGAAATGTGGGGACTTTGCTGGCCCTGTGAATTCACCTTGTTCTGCTGCTGGCCCCCTCAAATGGGCCCTGACCCTGCTGCTCTCCTGTCCCCTGGGGGTGTGGCCAGGCTTGGGGTGCTGCCCTGCTGGCTCTGCGTCCTGCCTTTTCTGCTCTCTTTACCGTCCCTCTTATTCGGTTCTTGCTGTATTCTCTTCTGTGTGGGGTCCCAATCATGGGTGTCTACCTTTCGGATCCCTCCTTCTCTTCCTCACTCCATACCAGCTTTGCTTGGGAGAGTCTGGGTGCAACAGTGGTTAAGCACAGTTGTCTCCAGGGCTGGCTAATCCTGAATCCCACCACCACCGTGGGGAATTCTTTCATCTGCCCAAAGCTCAGTTTCATCACAGGTAACAGGTATCACGTGAGTACCTGCCACACAGGGTTGCAGGGTAGCCTGAGTGGCTCCAGGGCATAAGGCTCATACACAGTGCCTGTCAGAGACCAAGGGCTGTCCATGGTAGCAGTTCTTACCTGCAGAACACAGTTCACATTCCATGGACAGGGATCTTCACAAAAATCCAATAGGACCTCATCTTTTAATGTCATCTCCTACTAAGCCTCATTTGCTCCTCACRGCCACACTGAGTGACGTCTTTGCTGGGACTCAGGCTCCTCACACAAGGCCTTTGCTGCCTTCTCCAGTGTCTGCTCGCCAGCCCTCTCCTCRGCCATGTCTGCTGTTTGGCTGTGCTATTTAAAATGGCAGCACCCACCCTCGGTCCTCCTGATCCCCTCTTCTCACTCTGCCTTTGGTCTGTTTTCTTCCTGTAGAATCAACCATGGGTCATACTCTACCTACTGATTAGTTATGCCTTTATTCACCAATCCCCTTCCCTGGCTAGGATGTCAGCCACAGGAGGACACGAATCTTTGACTATTCTTTGCAATGCTGTATTCCAAGAATGGGAAACAGCATGTGGAACATAGTAGGTGCTTGTTCAATATGAAACTGGACACCATTTCATAGACAAGAAAATTGAAGTTTAGATTCAGCCTCAGGCTCACACAGCAAAGAACTAGCTGAGCAGGATTTGTCCTCTGYGGGATCTGATGAAGCAGAGATGGAGAACTGGAGCTTTGGCTGGGCCATGCCAGTGGGCAGTCTGGTTGGCAAGGAGGAGGGCTGTCCTGAGAGAAGGCAGCTGGGACCASAAAGGTCAGCTCCGTGGGCCTGACACTGCATGGGGTCAGGTGCTGGGTTACTTGGTCCCCCTTGTAAGCACAGTAGGGATTCAGTAGAGACAATGAGGGCTTGCAGAGGAGAGGTTAGGGAAGCATCCCCACTACTGTGAGGAAGCTCTGCAGGAATCCCAACTCCCTGCTCAGTCCCAAGGAATAAATGAAGAGAAGCTGCCCTAGGGGAGGCGCAGGTGAGCACAGGTCCCTTGGTTAGAGAAAGACACTCTGCATTCTGCAAGGGGGCCATGGCATTGGAAGGGTCCTCCTCCTTCCCCCTAYTCCCTGGGAGTCTAGGGCTGTTGTGGCTGCACAGTGCCATTGGCCTGAACTGGCTCTGCCACTCCATTAATGGAGGCTTCCTAGAGCAAGCTTCACAGCTCCAGGGACACCCGTCTGGCTCCCTTTCCCCTGGCCGAGTGCTGCTGCCTTTTCTTCATGTGCCTTTAGCATCATGGATGTGAAACCAGACATTGCTCTCTCTGCCTTTTCGGCTTRCATCTTGCTTTGCTCTGCTCACCTCCTGCCTTCCCTGCCTCCACTTACCCCTCCCCAGCTCYGTTTCCTCCGGTGTGCATAGTATGCACTAGCTTGCCTCCTGGTCCTGAATATGTTAGGCAGTGAGATTGTCTGAATGAAACTCAGGCGCGCCCAGTGCAGCCCGCAGCCTGAGGGAGTACAGAAGTCACTGCCTTTTTAAACAAGTATGAAATTAAGTCCGAGGTAGTTGCCAGTGTGATTTGTTTTCATTGTTTATATATGAATAAATATTAAAATGCAGTCATCTGTTTATGCYGAGCATGGGGTGAAAGGCC